GCGAGCGGATCATCACTGGCTAGACAAGGGACTGGGAGGGCCCAGCCCCAACTGAGGGGTCTACCATGGCAACCGTTGGCGTCGGCCCAATGGGAGCCGACGGTACCTCCTCCGTCACCGGTGCTCCCTCGGGAGCAGACCCTCCGATGGTAGAGGAGGCTGGTGGCTCGACCTCCGAAGTCCAAGCTATCGCCGCATCTATAGGGGATGCCTCGGTCATGTCTCCTCTTGTCTGCCCCACCTCGGGCGCGTCGATCGGCGAGGGCGCCGATTGAACGAGCGCCGCCTCCGGCACAATCGGCGCCTCCGCCTCCCCTGTTTCCTCAGGCGGCGTCGTGTCTGCCTCGGTGCCATCATGGTGCGCCCCTAGCACCACGCTAGTTGGCTCTTGGAGGACTGGCCGACACGCCAAGATCTTCTACGGCGCCAACGTCAGGCGGTTGCGGGGGCCGGTCCTGCGGAAGGCACCAACGTCACACGACAAAATCCAAGAATGAAATGAAAGGGCGAAGAAGCCTTTAACTCACCTCAACACCATAATCCGAGAATGTTTCGGGGGCTGGTCGCTCGACCCCGACTCCGCCACATCAGCAATTGGCCGCTTTGACCCCCCGGTGGGGTCAGTTGGAGCAGGGTGGATTTGCTCCTCCGACCTCGAGGGCGCGTCCTCCCCTGCCGATCTTGGGAGCCTCCTCTTCGGTTTGCGCCGGGTCTTGCTGTGGAATCAGGGTCACCCTGATGGGGTCGGTCGAAGCGGGGCAGACTTGCACCACCAACCTTAGGGGCGCGTCCTCCGCCGATGATCTTGGAGGTGCATCCTCTTCGATTTGCGTAGGGGCGTGCTGTGGAATCAGGGTCAGGTTCTCCGGCCCCCTCTTCCTCCTACTCCTCATCGTCGCTCTCCTCCGAGCCTTGCCGGCGCCTTCCACGCTGGAGCTTTGCTCGCTCCTTCTTCACCTTCTTCCCCTCCTGGCCGCATCCTCTGGCAGTGGCGGTCGGACTCACGGACGATGAGGCCAGGTTGCAAATCCTGGTGCTTAGAATCTGAGAACAAAGGAGGGTCGCCCAAGGAAATAGACTCAAAGAAGGCTTACTAGTTCAACGAAACCCGTGTCCAACCTGCATCGCGGGATGCCCCGGGACAGGGTACATCGGGGTGAGATCCACCGATGGATTCGTTGAGCACTCCATCGCCTCCTTGAGGCGTTGTTCCATTTCACCGATGCTGAGGGCCTCACTGGCGACCATCACCATCCCTTCGGACGGGGAATCTGGTATCATCCTCCACATCGAAGAGTGTGCGCCATTAGCGGCGCCAGCCTCCTGATGTGGTACGCCCTGATGATGCCGGTCCCGCAAAGACCGTGGCCCTTTAGAGTCGTGATGGATTTGAGGAGGTCATCGAGCCTCTTCTGCTCCCTCCCGATGGGCCCGTACCTCCACACGTTCGGTGCTTCCTCGATCGGGTGGCCGGTGAAGATCGGTAGGGGGCGGTGGCGTCATTCCTTAGGTAGAACCAGAGCTTATGCCACCCCTTTTTGGACTTCGATAAGGGGATGGACATGTACTCCAACGACCGGCTACCTCAAAGATGGATGCTCGCACATCCCATCGGCACCGCCAAGTCCTGCTCCTTCCTCTCCTTCTTCTGCAGCTTGACGGTGAAGAAGTACTTCCATAGCTCAAAGTGGGGCTCGATCCCTAGATACCCCCGTACAGCGCGACGAAGGCCGAGATGTGCTGAATCCCGTTGGGATTCAGATGATGCAACTCAATCCCATAGTAGTGCAATAGCCCTTGGAGGAATCGGTGGGGAGGAGTCACGAACCCACGCTCGTGGAAGGGGACGAAGGAGACGACGTAGTCGTCGGGCGGCGATGGCTCATCCTCACCACCAGGTATGATCCACTCCATCTATGTGGTCCTTGCGGAGAAGGCCATTCTTGACTAGACCCTCCATGCATGCATGGAGAACATCGGAGCAAGGCCACGGCTCCATCTGGAAGTAGGGATGGCAATGCAGGAGATCTGGCGGTGGCATAGGGCTGGAGGGCGAGAACTTCACCGGTGGTGGAGCGGAAATAGGGGAACAAAGGCTGGAACTTCGAGAGCGAAAGGCAGAAAGATTGGAGGGGCAAGGATGCGGTTGCGTACGGAGGTTGGGGAGAAACTGCTTTGTTTATAAGGTAAGGGCGGAACAGGCGAGGGGCGAACCGTCCGCCTAAATTAACGCGCCCCACGCCTCACCAGATCCGTTTCTTTCGGGGCTCGTGCCCTCACTATTCCTCGTAGCATTAGTCGCATCACCACCTTGAGAGACAAGCGCATGTCTATCCAAATCTTCCCCATGAAGGATCCGCCGGGCGATGGTTCATCTTCAAAGGCTACAGTCGCCGCAAGTAAGTAGGATACGGAGCTGAAAATGCTCCTATGGCTCATTAATGCCCAGGAGTTCAAAGGCTGGCCCACTAGTGGGTTCACGGTCGCTCCAAGGCACCCTAGAGTGAGGGGAGGTTAAGGACGGGCCCGCTAGTGGCCAATACCCAAAGCGCGTGAAGCGCCACGGTGTCCCGACCCTCGTTTCGAGTCTTGGATGGTGCAGGGTCCATGGGTTTTCCCTGAAAAAAGGCATCGAGCCCTCGGATCGGTCGAACGGATCCGGGAACTATATAGACCGGCCACCAAGAATCTGGAGTCAATCACCAGCTGATCTCGAACCGGGCCCCCATGAAGGGGATGCCAGGGCTCCACTCAAACAAGCCCGTTAACAACTCATCGAGCGCCGTGCTCGTCCAGCGAGGAAAGCACGGCATGGCTCAACCCCTCCGTCCTAGCGAATGGACGCGTGAGGGATGACGATCACAAGACGAACTGACCCCCCGATTGGACCCCTGCTACGCTTGGGGGCACGGGGGCTCGGCATTGCAAAGAGACCGAACACGCGGTCGCTAGACAAACGACGAGTGTCATACATAGCTCGCCATCCTGTAAAGCGATAATAACTAACAGTACTCCATGCGGCCTCAAGCAACGGATCAAAAAAGCCTTTGCAGGAGTGTCTCACTCCTCCAAAGACTCAGGGGCTACTGTCGGATATTTATACCCGGGTATATGAGCCAAATGATTAATGAGCATCATGTTGTCTCATCCGATGGTTAAGGACGCAACTATGACCTCGTCCGGACCCTAGGGCTGGGCCACGTCTCGTCCAACTCCGAGGATGAGGTTTCGCCTCGTTCGACCCCCAGGGGCCGGGCCACGCCTCGTCCAACTCCGAGGACGAGGTTTTCGCCTCGTTCGACCCCTAGGGGCCGGGCCACGCCTCGTCCAACTCCGAGGATGAGGTTTCCGCCTCGTTCCAACCCCTAGAGGCCGGGCCACGCCTCGTCCAACTCCGAGGAGGAGGTTTTCGCCTCGTTCGACCCCCAGGGGCCGGGCCACGCCTCGTCCAACTCCGAGGACGAGGTTTCCGCCTCGTCCGACCTCCAGGGGCCAGGCCACGGCTTGTCCAAATCCGAGGACGAGATTTCCGCCTCCTCCAACCCCTAGGGGCCGGGCCACGCCTCGTCCAACTCCAAGGACGAGGTTTCTGCCTCGTCCGACCCTAAGGCATGGGCTCCGACTCGTCCGATCCCACGAGGAGGGCTCCGCCTCGTCCGACCCCCTGAGGGTCGGATTCCGCCTTGCCCGTTCCCCGGGGGTCGAATTTGCTACCGGACAAAAGCAGTGGCCCCAGGATAGGACCCAAACCGCTTCAACTACTACTGCGTGGAGGCGCACGCCTGGAAGCACGTCTCGGGCTCATCCTGATGCGACCGGCGGTCGCATCAGGCCATGCTGGGAGACTCACGTCACCCACCGCGTCAACAGGCCAGCACTGTGCTGCCAACTCCCTGCCTGACCACCGTCTAGCGTCAGTCGACCGGCGTCAGTTGACTGGCACTGTACCACTAGCCCCCCTGTATGGCCTTTGTCAGGGACCCTTTGACCATTCTATCTCCGCTCAGATGAGATGGAAGACAAGAATGACGCATCACGCCCACACGTATGCTACAACGGCCAACAGGACCCCGGTGCGACGCCGCTACCACCACAATCTACAGGGTCAGCGGGACCCACGCGAAGAGGAGGATGGCACACCTCCGGAAGCTTTATTTCTTTTTCTTTTTTCCTTTTTCCTTCGACTGTAACCCTGCTTTCCTTTGGGCTTTAAAAGGGAAAGCAGGGCGTCCTACTAAGGGGCATCGGTACATCTCACCGCATCAGATAAAAACCTTTAGCATCGAGCAATCGAACCACAAAGATTTGGAGTTCCTCCTCTCTTGCTAGTTTGTAACCCCTACTACAAACTCAATGCTAGTAACACGAGCAGCCTGAAACTGGACGTAGGGATATTCGTCCCGAACTAGTATAATTCTTATATCCTCTTAGCCAACCATCCGAATCAAACGCATAATATACAAATTTACTCATTGGTGTTTGTTCGAAAAACAATTATGGAACATAATACATGATTAGTGTGTCCGATCTGATTTTGTACTTTCATCCCTACGCGAAAGGAGGTGAGTGACCGCGTGGCCACTGGCGGCCGTCCAGTCCAAACCGAAGTCCTAATCTTGGGCCTTCCTTCCGTAAAACCGAAGTCCTAATCTTGGGCCTTCCTTCCGTAAAACTTCCACATTATGGCCCATGCGCTAATTTTGGTCCGGCCTAACAATCCTGCCAGAAAGCGCCCCATATGAACCTTATGATTACGCGACTCCCTGACCGCCACTCGTGGTCGGCGGTGCCGTGCGCCGGATATGCTCTGGCATCGCCTTCCTATAATCACGCTTCTGCCGCCGCCGTCCGCGCCGCCCGGCCCCTCCACCGCGTCCCTCGCCGCTTTCCTCCCCTCTCCACCCTCCGCCGTCAAAGCCGCGGCGTCCCTCCATACCGGACCCGCCGCAGCCCCCACGCCGCAGATCCGCTGGGTTGATGCTCCGGGAGCCGGTCGGGGGATGTCGTCGTCCACTTCCAGCGCCGGGGGCGAGGCCGCCGGCGAGTTCACGGAGGTCGTCATCGTGCGGCACGGCGAGACTTCATGGAACGCCTCGCGCATCATACAGGTGCCGCTTGCTTCTCCTCCCCTGTCCTGCCGTCCATGGGATTGCTAACTTACGACTGGCCTTACACTGCTTGCTTAAACTGGGAAAATGCTGTGATGGAGGAAACCTGAGGGACCTAAGATGTGACGCACTAGTTTAATAGTTTTAAATGTTTGGATTAGTGCTTCGTCCTTGTAGGGACTACTCTACAGCTACTTTCTCAAGTGAAGGGACAAAATAAAACCTAGGAGTTTGTGTTGGCCACAATCAGCCTGATCGTACGTTGGTTTTCAGCTAGAGCTTATCAGCCATGGTACAGTATTTTTCTCTCACAACGAACCAGCACCAGCCGGGCTTATCAGCCCAGAAATCAACCTGCGAACAGACTAAATGATTACACTGCAGTATATGTTGGACTGTTGTTAGTGTTGCGTTGAATAGTGGAATTTGATCTACTCATGCAGCCAACTAAAATGTTTTGTCATCTTGCTAAAAGGATGTTGGTTCATTCCCTGCTTGCACTGCATATAGAACAGTACAAGAATCTGCTTCTAGGGCTGTTGAGATTTGGTCATTTGGACCATTGTTTAATTTTCGTTTTCACTTTTCAGTCTGAAATCTAACACTATTGTTATTAAAGTGGTAGTCTTCTAAGTCTCGACTCTATCCATTGAAGAAAGTCTCATCTCTAGTGTAATCAAGCAATGCATTTGCTCATTGTGACATACTCCACCCATTCCAAATTATAAGACGTTTTAGCTTTTCAAGATACATTGCTTTTACTATTTATCTAGACATAGTGCATATCTAAGTGCATAACAAAAACTATGTATCTAGAAAAGCCAAAACATCCTATAATTTGGAATGGAGGGAATATTAACATTCTTACTCATATAATGCACATGTACTTATCTCAGATAGTTCATGCCTCTTATAATATGTATCTATGGAAATCGATAGCATTCACCCTTGTGTCCTTTACAAACACCTTTTTGCAAACAAAGGAAAGATAATATGCCTAGTCATTTTTCATAGCTCAAGTGTTTGCTTGATGGAAATTGGAAATACATTGTTTTACACCCTGGACTTAGCCAGCTGGTTATCACCATGAACTAATACCTGCCTTGACCGGGAAATTATTATTCACTGAGAAATCATGTATTGTTAAGCTCTTTGATTGTCAGCATAAGAGTGTTTTTTTAACTCCACACTGGTATCATACTGCACCAGGGACACTTGGATGCAGAGCTTAATGATATTGGGAGGCAGCAAGCTTTTGCGGTATGGTATGATTTATACTGGTTTTCACTAGATATTTTTAGTAGCATTTCTTATGGGGAATTTTTTCTCAAAGGTTGCTCATCGCCTTTCTAAAGAAGCGAAACCAGTTGCCATATACTCTTCTGATCTGAAGCGAGCAGCAGAGACTGCGCAAACAATCGCAAGAATTTGCAATGTGCCAAATGTATGTCCATTCTACTCATCCCCTCTTATGTTGTGTGGATATTTCTGCATGACGTGTTACTTCTGTGATTGGAAATATACTGATTGTACATGGTTCAGTTGCTTGTAAAATTCGTAATGGAGCTTAATGAATGCAATGCTTAATCGATCAGGTCGTGTTTGATCCAGCACTGAGAGAAAGACACATTGGAGATCTGCAGGGCATGAAGCTTCAAGATGCTGCTACAGAGAAACCAGAGGCATACAAAGCTTTTATGTCCCACAAGAGAAATCAACAAATTCCTGTAAGTGTTCTTATAACCTATTGACAAGTACTATGCTTAGCATTGATGCACATGCTAAGATGTGTTGAAGCATCACATGAATAATGTTATGTTATGGATGATGAAGAAACTATGTGCATTAAATGGCTCATGGTCAACTATTACGTAGGTATCAGCAATTCAAACTGGAATATACAGTGATTTTGCACTTCCAAATTATGTGTGCCAAGTATAATATGCTACCAGTGAAATAAGATCAAGCTTATTGGGAGGAAGCTTTTTGCTACATCTATAGATAACTAACTCTTACGGGCTTATGTATATCTGTAGACAACTTGAACGGATAAAAGCTCAGTATTCCAATCGAGTCAGTACTCATTTAGTTATACAGTTCCTCGAGACAGTGGAACCGTTACACAAGCAATAAAATTCTTATTGGTGGAACCTCTTACCCCTGACTCCCTGAGTTATGCTGTATCTGGAAAGAACAGCTTGGTTTTCGTGATTTTCCTATCTCCATAAAGCTTTCCTTTCACTAGATTTATTCTTAGCTGCATGCAGTAGATTCTCTTGTGCATTGTTTCCTAACACTCTTTGACTTTGTTTCTCAGGGTGGTGGAGAGAGTCTTGATCAACTGTCAGAGCGTTGTGTGTCATGTCTGTACAACATCGTTGAGAAACACAAAGGTAAGCCATGAGCTTTATTCCTGGACTCCTTGTGATCTGATCCTTATTATAAGTAAATACGAGTTACTTATATTTCCATAGACATGTGATTGCTTGGGTTGTATTATTTAGATATGTCAAAGAAATGTTACTTCGATGTTTACCTGCGATCTCATGAGCCGCTGTCTACTGATGACAGGGGAGCGAGTTATCCTGGTTTCACACGGCGGAACCATCAGGGAACTCTACAGGCACGCCAGCCCTACGAAGCCGCTCCACTGTAAAATACACAACACGTCAGTGAGTGTCATCCTCGTGTCGGATGCCACCGGTCGTTGCATCGTCAAGATGTGCGGGGACATCAGTCACCTTCAGGAGACGGGCGTCCTGGAGAATGCCTTTGGTGGCGATAAGACCTCCGCCTAAAAATTCCAGATTTGGGAGCATCGTAGTACATGCAACATTTATCACGTGCATAGTATAGTACTCAAGCATTTATCACGTGCAGACAGTGCTCGTTTCCGTCGTATTTTACTGTACCAATCAATCCTGTTGCTATCAGTAGTGGTCTAGTGGAGAATGGTATACTTTCTCCCGTTGGGAACGTGCGAATTTTGCCGAAACAGTTGAAGGCCGAGCCGGGGCGAATCCTTATGGCCCCCCGGTCGTGGATTGCTCTGAAAACATCTGCCGCATGTGGAGCTGAAACCATCTGCGTTTGCGCATGTTCGTCCACATCCGTGGATCATGGCCCCTATTCTATCTATCTTGCGCGCAGTGATGACGGTGCCGGATGCAATGCATTGCGTGCGATCGGGCACGGAGGCCTGCCTGCCCCCGGGTAGGGAGGGGGCATAAAAGGGCCGAGGAAGTAGCGCGTCCTTAGGATGGCGCGCTCCGAAAACCATTTCCAGCTAACTGAGTGCCGACGACAGATCACCCCCGTCCCTTTCGTCCAAAAGGACACCATGATTGCAGTCCTGTACTGGCTAACCACTTGCAGCGTGCCGCGCTGTTGTTGGCACAAATGGTCTGTGCTGCTTCCTCCTCTCTTTCACCTAAAAGGGCGGTTCGAATACTCTGCGCTGCCTAACGGCCGGTGCAGAGAGAAGCGACGTCAGCCAAGCATATATATATATATATATATATATATATATATATATATATATATATATATATATATATATATATATATATAGAACTACTACTACTCTGTAGCTGGCTACAGAATAATTTATTCTGTAGCCACTTTGAGTTACGATAATTACTATATTAATTTATGAGATTATAGTAACTCTTTACTAAGTGGTTTACTATAACGTTACGGTAAATATCCCCATGTGTTATAATAACCCAACTATCGTAAATATGTATTGACATTATCGTAAATTAGTATATAAAATTATCGTAAATATGGAGGTGGCTACAGAATAATTTATTTTGTAGCTGGCTACTGAATATACTCTTATATATATATATATATATATATATATATATATATATATATATATATATATATATAGAGAGAGAGAGAGAGAGAGAGAGAGAGAGAGAGAGAGAGAGACGTACGTTGTTAAAATAGCTGAACTGAACTAGTTTGGAGTATGATCGATACAAGTATCAAGGGTCATATACTGGTGGATGGATCAACATGTAGGATCAGACAGAGGAACTTGATGCTTAATTCTTTTGAACATTAAAAAAAGGGGGACCGTCCGGCCGATACTATGCGCGCGCATCGAATAGACGATGATAGATTGTTGTTAATCAATGTAGCCGAGTTGTGAGTGGACTGACCTCCTCTCGCCGATGACGCCGTCGATGATCACATGCGCAATGTTCACGCCGGCCGGCTGGAACTCCCTGGCCAGCGACTGGGACAACCCCCGAAGGGCAAACTTGCCGCAGCCTGCACGCATGCCATGCGTGTCAAGAATCGCTTAGCTAAAGAAGCAGTAGAGTAGGTTTGGCAGACCAAAGGCCCCGGCCGGCCGCCAACCACACTAGTAGAGAAACGACTTCTGATCCACTTCGAAATTTGACTTTAGTCCCGGTATTTTTCGCGCTCGGGACTAGAGAAACCTTTAGTCCCGGTTGGTAGATCCAACCGGTCCAACCGGGACTAAAGGTCCCTGCCCAACGGCTATTGCGGCAGGCTTTTGCTGCAGGGGACCTTTAGTCCCGGTTGGAGCTACCAATCGGGACTAAAGGTTAACTTTTACTCCTGGCTAGCTCAAGAGTCTTTATTCACACTTGTTCAAGTCGGGTTTCATGCCAAACTATATTTGTTGGACGAAGCACGAAGAAACCGGGATTGTAATGGAAGAAGGTGAAGAAGAACAATGTGACGATGATGACATTATTGCTGAATATGGTGCCTTCAATGATATTGCAATGGGAGAAGCTAAAGAAGAGGTAGGGGCAGAAGATGAGCCCGCTGATGATCTTGGTCAGGCCATTCATGACGCACAAAGAGAATGCGAAAGAAAAAATGAGAAGATCAAGTTTGAGCGCATGCTAGAGGATCACAAGAAATTGCTATACCCAACTTGTGATGCGGGGCAGAAAAAGTTGGGTACCACACTGAAATTGCTGCAATGGAATGTAAAGAATGGTGTATCTGACAAGGGATTTGAGGAGTTACTAAAAATCCAAAAGAAAATGCTTCCGAAGAATAACGAATTGCCCGCCACTACGTACGAAGCAAAATAGGTAGTCTGCCCTTTGGGATTAGAAATCAAGAAGATACATGCATGTCCTAATGACTGCATCCTCTACCGTGGCGAGGAGTACGAGAAGTTAGATGCATGTCCGGTATGTCATGCATCGCGGTATAAGATCAGGCGAGATGACCCTGGTGATGTTGAGGGCAAACGTCCCACGAAGAAAATCCTTGTCAAGATTATGTGGTATGCTCCTATAATACCACGCTTGAAACGTCTGTTCAGAAACAAAGACCATGCAAAGTTGTTGCGATGGCACAAAGAAGATCGCAAGGTAGACAATATGTTGAGACACCCTGCTGATGGGTCCCAGTGGAGAGCAATCGATAGAGAATTCCCGGAGTTTGCAAATGACGAAAGAAACTTAAGGTTTGCTTTAAGTACGGATGGTATGAATCCTTTCGGGGAGCAGAGCAGTAGTCATAGCACTTGGCCTGTTATTCTATGTATCTACAACCTTCCTCCCTGGTTATGCATGAAGCGTAAGTTTATTATGATGTCAGTGCTCATCCAAGGCCCAAGGCAACCTGGCAACAACATCGATGTGTACCTGAGGCCAATAGTTGAAGAACTTCTACTTTTGTGAAACAGACCAGGTGTACGTGTGTGGGGTGAGCACAAACAGGAGCACTTTGACCTGCGAGCATTGTTGTTCGTAACAATCAATGATTGGCCTGCTCTAAGTAATCTTTTAGGACAATCAAACAAGGGATATAATGCATGCACGCACTGTTTCGATGACATTAAAGGTATATTCTTGAAAAATGTCGAAAAGTCATGTACCTTGGCCATCGTCGATTTCTTCCTACGAATTACCCCCTAAGAAAGAAAGGCAAGCATTTTAAAGGTAAGGCAGACCACCAGACCAAGCCGGGCAACCGATCTGCTGAGGATGTACTCAATATGGTCAAGGATGTGAAAGTAATATTTGGAAAGGCACATGGCAGCAAACCTGTTCTGAACGACGCCGACGGTCACGCACCCATGTGGAAGAAGTCCATATTTTGGGAGCTACCCTATTGGCATGTCCTAGAGGTTCGTAGCGCGATCGACGTGATGCACCTGACGAAGAATCTTTGTGTGAACCTGCTAGGCTTCATGGGTGTGTATGGGATGCCTAAGGACACACTTGAAGCACGACAGGACCTACGGTGTTTGAAAGAACGAGACAACCTACATCTAGAGAAGACAGATGATGGACGCTATTACTTAAGTCCTGCCAGCTACACTCTTAGCAAAGAAGAGAAGGAAAGCATGTTTGAATGCCTAGCAAGCATCAAGGTACCATCTGGATTCTCCTCGAATATAAATGGTATAATAAATGTGCCAGAGAAGAAATTCCTAAACTTAAAGTCCCATGACTGCCACGTGCTCATGATGCAATTGCTTCCAGTTGCATTAAGAGGAATTCTACCTCCAAATATACGTCTAGCCACCGTAAAGCTATGTGCATTCCTCAATGCAATTTCTCATAAGGCAATCGATCCAATGGATCTAGCTAAACTACAGAATGATGTGGTTCAATGTCTTGTCAGCTTTGAGTTGGTGTTCCCTCCTTCCTTTTTTAATATCATGACACGCCTCCTAGTTCACCTGGTCAAGGAGATTAGCATTCACGGTCCTATGTTCATGCACAACATGTTCCCCTTTGAGAGGTTCATGGGAGTCCTAAAGAAATATGTTCACAACTGTGCTCGGCCAGAAGGAAGCATCGCCAAGGGCTATGGAACAGAGGAGGTCATTGAGATTTGTGTTGACTTTATTCCCGACCTTGACCCGATTGGTGTTCCTGAATCGCGACACGAGGGGAGACTAAGTGGAAAGGGGACACTAGGGAAGAAACCATATATTGGTACGTAGGACAATTATTTTAATAAAGCACACTACACAGTTATGTAAAACTCCTCCTTGGTGGATCCGTATATCGAGACACATAAAGAGTTGCTCCGATCCGAGTTTCCAGGGAAGTCTGAAGCTTGGATTATGCGTCAGCACGAAACTTTCAGCGACTGGTTGCGAAAAGAATGTCAGGGTGATGAGAGTATTGATGAGCAACTGTATTTGTTGGCTAGGCAGCCATCGTGGCATATCCTCACATACAAAGGGTACGAGATAAATAGGAATACATTTTACACAGGAGCCCAAGATAAAAGGAGCACCAACCAAAACAATGGTGTCCGCATAGATGCCACTGACCCTAATGGAAATAAGCAAACATATTATGGCCGCATAGAGGAGATATGGGAACTAAACTATGCACCTACTTTTAAGGTACCTTTGTTCAAGTGCCAATGGGTAAAGGCGAGTGGAGGCGGGGTAGCAGTCGACAACCAGTATGGAATGACAACCATGGACCTCAACAATATTGGGTACAAAGACGAACCGTTCGTCCTTGCCAAGGATGTGAATCATGTGTTCTATGTCAAGGACATGTCTACAAAACCGAAGAAAGGGAAAAACAACAACGACCCAATCAATGAGCCAAAGCACCACATAGTTCTTTTAGGGAAAAAAAACATCATCGGAATTTGAAGACAAGTCAGACATATTAGAAGATTATGAAAAGGATGACCGAATTCCACCCTTCACAGTGAACAAAGACCCAAGCATCCAGCTAAATGATGAGGACACTCTATGGTTACGGCGCGATCATAACCAAGGGATATACGTTAAGAAGAAGATCATTGTTGTTCCCGCTTGATA